CTCACACACACTCTCTCTCAAGATAAATAAATACATTAAAAAAAAGAAAAAGAAAAAGCCTTGAGGTTATGATGATACTACCAGAAGGATGTTAATATAAAATGTGCTAACAGGTGGCAGTAATGCTTACAGAAGTTTTAAAAAAAATTTTTAATGTTTATTTATTTTTGAGAGAGAGAGAGACAGAGCGTGAGCAGGGGAGGGGCGGAGAGAGGGGGAGACACAGAATCCGAAGCAGCTCCAGGCTCTGAGCTGTCAGCACAGAGCCTGACTCGGGGCTCGAACTCACGGACCGTGAGATCATGACCTGAGCCGAAGTCGGATGCCTAACCCACTGAGCCACCCAGGCACCCCATGTGTACAGAGGTTCTTAAAAATTCATTTTTATTAAATCTGAAACGTACAAAATGGTATTTATAAAATATAAGTGAGATATAAAGAATAGTGATAAAATGGAGGTGCGTAGATGTGTGATCATCTCAGCCAGTATAAGAGAAAGGGGATGGCCACTACTTCTGAAGCCTCCAATGCACCCCTCTTGCCTCCCTGTCTGGGGTTCACCATCATCCTGTATTTTGTGATCATTATTCACTTGCCCTTCTTCACAGTTCTGCCACAGATGCTTGTATCCTTACACAAGATATTGTTTGGTTTTCCTTGCTTTTGACTTTATATAAATGGGATCACACTCTCTGTATTTTGCTTTTCACTCAAGATTATGTTTCTGAGATGTATCTAGTTGATATGTTCACACTGATGTTTCGAATTTGACCCAAACTTCTCCAAGCTCTTCAGAGATCACTCGAATACAAGAGCAAACTCCATTTTATTATTTGAGCCACCAGCTTTCCCTTCACTTTTGCATACAACACTGGATGGCTATCCTGCAACTCACGTGTATACGTATTAGTGGACAATTGGGTTGGTTTCGTATTTTTGCTACATAAATAGTGCTGCCATGATCATCACTGGTTTCCTGGTCCACCCTTGCAAACATGTCTTCAGGGGATATACCTGGGAAAGGAACTGTGGGATCAAATGTATATAAAGGCTCAGCCTGAAGAGGTAATCCAGATTGCTTTCCAAAGTGATTATAGTGATTCACACGTCTACCAGCAGTGAATAAATGTTTCAGTTGTTCCAAATCCAATCCGATATTTGGTAATGTCTGGCTTAGTATTTTTTGCAAACCTGGGGGTACCTGGGTGGCTCGGTCGGTTAAGCGTCCGACTTTGTCTCAGGTCATGGGGGTTCTCGAGTTAAAGCCCCAAGTCGGGTTCTCTGATGGCAGCTCAGAATCCACTTCAGACCCTCTGTCCCCCTCTCTCTCTGCCCCTCTCCCGCTTGCTCTCTCCCTCTCAAAATAAATGTTAAAAAAAATTGTTTTTTGGGGCACCTGGGTGGCGCAGTCGGTTAAGCGTCCGACTTCAGCCAGGTCACGATCTCGCAGTCCGTGAGTTCGAGCCCCGCGTCAGGCTCTGGGCTGATGGCTCGGAGCCTGGAGCCTGTTTCCGATTCTGTGTCTCCCTCTCTCTCTGCCCCTCCCCCGTTCATGCTCTGTCTCTCTCTGTCCCAAAAATAAATAAACGTTGAAAAAAAAAATTGTTTTTGCCAACCCGGAAGGTGTAAAATGAGTTTTATTAAGGTTTGGATTTGTATTTCACAGCAGGTGTGTGTGTGCATGTGTATATAATTTTTTTTAACCACACTGGCAAGTGCAATCCGGTGATCAAACAAGACTCTGAACTCTACACTCAAATTTTCGCCATCATCCATGTAACTATTTACAAATTGTTGTTAGCTTAACTCATTGTCATATTGAGTTCTTTGGATAAAAGTTAGATGCATAGAGTCAAGATCTGTAATAATAACCTAGTGTAATACCTGTGTTGCAAAGTGGTATATGGTAGAAAGCCAAATCGTGAATAAAGAAAATACTTTTCATGGGCACCATACTCCTTTTGCGTTTATTTTGATGTATCATAGGAAGGTGTTGAAGAGAATTAGAGGGGAAAAAGAGTCATACACCTCTAGTTTATACATCATTTCTGCTGCCCTAAACAGTACACATGCAAAGAAGGAGTGGACCAATGTTGCTCAAATTTTGTTCCTGGTTAGACCCCAGCAGGTGGGGCTTTTCACATACTCAGAGAAGTGTTACAGAGAAGTGTTAAAAAGGAATTACTTTCCTTAGATGTTATTCTGTATGGTCAACATTGGACTGTAAACATGCTGGAGTTGGGACTGATTAAAATGTTAAACTTAGGTCACATCCTGATTGGACTATACCCGAGAAACACGTTTCAGGACAAGTCCAAGTTCCAAGTATAACAAATGGGCAAGAGATCAGGTGATCATAATAGCTGGTGGCAGTCCGTTCTTAGAGGCAGAGCTGAAGAAATAGAACTTGCTAGCCACATGGATTAACTCTGATGCTGGCCTGGACCCCAGGTGTCTGAGTGGGCCTGACTTGGGGTGGAGGCAAGCAATGACAGAACAGACAGTGGAGGTTGGGTGTGCCTCACGTTGTACTTGGAGCTTCCTTCTCTCAAAGCTAGCACAGAAAACAGACCAAGGTGACTTCCACTCATGTATTGTTGGAATATAACTTACTATATATATATATAT